TATCTAAAATACACTTTTAGCTCTCTCTCATCTCTCTCTCTCTCTCTCTCTCTCTCTCTCTCTCACACACACACACACATCAGAATTTATATATGCAACAATGTCATTTTCATTTAAAAATCATAAAAATAATCAATCGTAAAAATTATAATAATATATTTTTAAAAATAAAATAATCATATTCTAAAATTTTATTTCAAAAGTTATATATAAAAAAATCAAATTTATTAACAAATAAAATTATATAAAATTTAAAAATTAATTCGATGAGAATTTTAATAAAAATCGAACCATTGAAGAAATAAATTTTAAATAATAAAAATAATATAATCGGATATATAAGTTCAAACTAAAATCTTAAAAAATATCATATATATTCTATTATTGTCAAACTATACGTAAAACTAAAAAGATAATAATTTTTTAAATATGTTCACACCTAATTTTATAGTGAAAGAACAGTTTCAGCAGTCCAACCCTTAAAACAAAAAAAACTACAGTAAAGGAACAGTTTCGATAGCCCAGCCCTTTAAAAAAAAATGTCAGCCGTTAAAAATGTATTACAAGTGAATGAACAGTTCCACCTCTTAATCTTTTAGTTTTTTATTTTTTATAATATGTACTTATGTTTCTTCTGGGCTCGCCGTGAATGTAGAATTCCGTTTTACTAGTAGCCTAATCCATGTATAATTTCTTGCTATATTTTAGTAACCTTGCATGGTTTTGGACCAAATATATTGTTTATCTTTACTTTCTATAATACCAATTACTTGGTCTATTTTATTGTTACTTTTTATATTGATGCCTCCTATGTTAATTTTTAAGACTAGGTTCTCAACTGTCAGCAAATGAATGTAGATTTTAAATAATTAAAAATAAATCAATCAATCAATCAAAAAAAGTATATAATTACCAATTTATGTATAACAATTCTCCAAGGGTGTCAAGTCATCTATCAACTCCTTTCCAACTAAATAAAGTGATAGTTTAGAATATACTAACCGGTTACCCACGTTATGCTCTGCGGATCCTAAACAACAAAATCATTTTAAAATTTTTTATTTAATTAATTTTTTGTAATGTTTTTCATTAATTTTCTGCTTAAAAAAATAAATAAATCATTCTTCTTTATGGATTGACTTTAAAATAAAAAATTATAATAATTTTTACTAAAATATTAATCAAGAATTAAAAAAATCTTTAAAAATATATTTTTTATAATATTATATTCTAAAAATAAAATTATAATTAATGGATAGACTTTTATAAAAAATATAAAATAATAAAAATCTTATTTTATGCTAATGAGAAGATTAATTTTCGAAATTATTCATGCAACGCTGTGGGTAGATAGAAAAAAATCATTTCAAAATTTTATAATTTTTTCATTAATTTTTTATTTAATTATTACTATTTTTGTGTGTTTTTCATAGAATTTTTGCTTAAAAAAATGATTTATTCTTCTTTATTCAAGGATTCTTAAATAAAAACTTGTAATAATTTAAACTTGAAATATTAATTAACAATTCAAAAACAAATACTTTAAAAATATATATTTTTTTATAAGAATGTATCCAAAAAATAAAGTTACAATTAATGTATAGACTTGTATTAAAATTAACCAATAAAAAAATAAAATTTAATTCTTATTTAATGTTGGTGAGAAGATTGTTTTTTAAAAAGTATATGCATTTGATCTATATATATTTATTTACAAAATAATCTACAAAATTAGCATAAAAAATGTATGTGAATAATCGGTTGGTTCCTTTAAAAAATATTTTAATTATTTTATTTCAAATAAATTGGTTCTATAATGTTAAAAAAAATATTCATAGTAAATAATTTGTATTATGTTGGAAGATGTATAGTTAATTTTTGATAAAAAAACAGTTATTCAATAGTTTTTTTATAAGTATTTACCATAACTAATGAACTAAGATAAATTATTTGAAACACACTTTCAACCTTGTAGAATAAATAATTATATATTTATATATATGCAACTATCATTTAAAAATTTTAAGAATTCATGATATATATTATACCACTTTATTTTTTAAAAAAAAAAAAACAATCATGTTTAAAAATTTTATTCTAAAATTCAACCATAGAAAAAAATAAATTATATTTATCATTAAATAAAATTTTATATAAAAAATGTTAATTGGATGAGAACTTTCATTAAATAATGATAAATTCAAATAATGATATTTAAATAATAAGAGTAATATAAACTGGAGTACATGTTAGTTTTAAAATATATATATACCCATTGCATGAAAATGAAAGAAAAATGAAATTTAAGGATTGAAAAACAATGTTGCAACATGAGGGCGAAAATAGAAAAAAAATGTTAAATTTGCATATTAATGCCTAAAAACACACAAAAATTATTTAAATTGCTATCAAATGAATAGTAATTTTATGCATATAAACGAGTAAGTGAATATGAATTTTAGGCATAAGAACGGTTCGGATTCTCTCACTATGTAGCGGATTCGAAATAAATATATTTATTTCAGTTTGATAATATATATTATATTATCGATTAATTAAAATATATTAAATTAAATATAAAAGATAAAATTTCATCTAATTTTATCATTTTTAATCAAAATTTTGTTATATATATATATATATATATATATATATATATGTTTGGCATTTCTCCTATGTCGGGTGCGATGATCATAGGTAATGGGTTTTTCTAATGAAACTTATTGAAATTATTTTGAAACACAAGAGTAACCTTAATTAAATACTTCCTAGAAGTAACTTCACGAAGTACAAACGGAAAATCTTCCGGAACGTGTTCCAGATTTTCAAGGTTTGGCAACTCTTGGCTTTCGTCAAGGTTTTCGAGTCGAGTCGACTCTTCTTCACTTTGTTTTTCAAGCGAGTTTTTAAGAGGCTGGAGTCTCCGGCTTGTCTTTCCTTAAGCTCTTTAAGCTCGGTTTTGATGACCTTAATCTCGGATTGAAGGTCCCGAATTCAGTTAAAGGTTTTTTGGTTTTCTTCTTCCTATATATATATATATGTTTTGAATAAATTTTGAAGTCAAAAAAATATGATTTGTTCTTTCTTAAGCATTTATTTTTAAATATAAAACTCATAATAAACAAGTTTAAAAAAACGTCTTAATATTTTTTTCACAACATTACATCAAAGAAATAAAGCAACGATTAATTTTAAAAAATTGTATGAAAATTAACAAATGAACCTTTTTTACTAATGAGAAAATTAATCTTTTAAATATGTACATTTAATATATATATTTACAGAATAATAAATAATATTAGTATACAAAATTATACTTGAATTATTAGGCGGTTATTCTAAAATATTATTTCAATTATTTTATTTGAAATAATTAATTTTAAAATATTAAAAAAATAATAAAAAATAGTTGGTATGGTGTGTTTAAATGCATAGTTGATTTTTAATAAAATCAATGACTCAAATATTATTATTTTTTATACATCACGACCGTATGTAATAGGTAAGAATGTATAGAATAAATTAAAAAATATTTTAAAAAATTAAATTATAAAATATATATTGAAATTGATAGAGTGTAATAAAAAATATAAAATTGATTTCCATAAAATTTGATTATATAAATAATAAGAAAATGAAATACATATATTCTATTTTTAAAATTTGATTATATAAGAATCAAGAAAATAAAAAAAGGTATAAAAAAAGAACTAATTCGAATCCATAACTAGAAAAAATAAATCATATTTATTAATAAATAAAATTATATCAAAAATAAGAATAAAAATTAACTTGATGAGAATTTCTATTATAAATCGAAAAGATCAATTTTAATCAATAAGAGTAGTATATATTTATTTTAAAAACTAAAAACATATCATATATATTATATAATCGTCAATTTATGTGAAAAAAAGTAACAATTGATTTTTTAAAATTTTAACACCCGAGTTAAATAAATAAAAAAAGAACATAAATTAATGAAAAAATCAAAGAAAAAAACGAAAGAAAAAAAAGCGTATAGTGCATCAGTTAAGAAATGAAAATTTTTAAAATAAAAATTTTAAGAACCAAAATGAAACAACTTAAAAAGTATATATATATATATATATATATATATATGTGAAAATCTAAACTATAATAAACGAATAATGAATTGTAAAGAGTTGAATAGTGAAAATCACTATTCAAAATCCTCGCTTCTTTTAGTTTCTTTGTAATCACCAGTTATGTTATCCATGCATGAGTTTATGTACATTTAACGGCACAATTATTTATAAAAATTATCAAATTAGTGGTGTTTCAAAAATAATAAATGTTAAATTGAGTACTTTTTTATTTTTCATAACGAAAGAACTCACAAGAATCAAGTCCTCCAAGCCCATCCCAGATTGCAAACCTCTGAACATATGAGCTAGCGCCTCCCAAACTATGAATAGTGTGAATCTATGGCATAATCTCGCAATTAGAAGATTGAAAATCCGAATTTCTAAGCGCAACTTAAAAAATTTCCAACCTTACCAAGTGAGGTTATCGATGTGCTACAATGTCCTGATCGGCTTTAATTGGCATGACCAAACAAACTCCAGGGCAAGTTTAAGAAGTATAATTATAAGAATTAATTGCATCACCTAGTGATAATTGTAATCAAAATCAAACAATTTTCAATTCATACGAACTTGTTCATTAGATACATCAATCAACGATTAAAACAAGCAATGCAGCAACTGAATAGCCGTTAATTGGCACGAATTAATGTTAAACGACGACTCGTCTGTTTAAGTCATTTGTTGCCTTATATCACGAGACGTGGTTTACTACAACTGTATGGATGATGTCGTTTTATAGAGTTTCATTTAAAAAAAAAAGAAACTACTGCTTCCTTCTCCCTCCACTCTTTTTCTCTTCATGCCCAGAGGCCACTTAGAGCTGCTCTGCCTCGAATTTTCAATACGAAAAGCAGAAACGAAGTCGTTTTTTGGGGTTCTAACCAAATTGCAATGTTAATTCGGGCTCTTTCAAGGTCAAAAATCCCAAATTTCAGTAGCGTAATAATACTCCTTCAAAATCTAGCAACTAAACAACCTGTTATAAATCAAACCCAATTGCCAGTCTCAAAAGTCCCAACTATCCAATCTTTTTTGGTTCCTGGTTTACGGCAATATCACGATGGAAGGCCAAGAGGGCCACTCTGGAGAGGCAAGAAGCTGATTGGCAAAGAAGCCCTTTTTGTAATACTTGGGTTAAAGAGGTTTAAAGATGATGATGATAAGCTTGGCAAATTTATGAAAGCCCACGTTTTCAGACTTTTGAAACTGGACATGATTGCTGTTTTGTCTGAGCTTGAGCGACAAGAGGAGGTCTCTTTGGCTGCTAAGGTGCTACTTTTGTCTTCTTTATAACTGTGGAAGTGAGTGTTGTTTGTGAAGTGTTTGATGTAATGCTTCAAAGAAATTTTGTCTTCACGTTCAGTTTATTTATTGTTTTCTATAGTTTATGTCTGTGGAGATTGGTTGTTTTCTTGGGTTAGTGAGTAATTTATTGAATTTGCAGATTTTTAGAGTGATTCAAAAGCAAGACTGGTATAAGCCTGATGTGTTTCTCTATAAGGATTTGATTATGGCATTACTAAAAGCTGGAAAAATGGAAGAGGCGATGAAGTTATGGGAAGCTATGAGAAACGAGGATTTGTTCCCAGATTCTCAAATGTATACTGAAGCCATCCGTGGATACTTGAGGGATGGGTCCCCTGCTGATGCGATGAACATATATGAAGACATGAAGAAGTCACCGGATCCACCGGAGGAGTTGCCGTTTAGGATTTTGTTAAAGGGGCTTCTACCGCACCCGCTTTTAAGGAACAGAGTAAAGCAAGATTACGAGGAGCTGTTTCCAGAAAAACATATTTATGATCCTCCCGAAGAGATATTTGGCGTGCTTTGAGGTTTGCATGAGGCTATTGATTTTATTTCTGTAATTTGTATTACAGACTGCGTTCATATGTGGAAGATGTTGACTAGCATGTTTTGCTCCAATAGAAACAGTGTTGCAATGGCAGGGTTCTTCATGAACCAAAATCATAAAAAATAATAACGAAAAACTCGGGGTGAACAAGAAGTTTTCCAAAGTTTATACCTAGACATTCAACTGTAATGGTGTTGTTTATGTACTCACTCATTGTTTTCAGAGAGAACTTCTCCCTTAGATACTTTTGTGTGCTTGTTCATGTATGCATGTAATCGGTTTGCGTTTCTCAGCTGGTTGTTCTGTGACTCTGAACAAAACATTTGCAGTTCCTTGGTTATGTGTATACTTGTCAGTTCATCCTTGGTAAATTGCTTGGTGTGAGTAATCACGAAAAAGGAACTTACAATTTCACTGAACTGCTAGAGGGCTTGATCTGACTTTCGATCGCCAATTTGTACTGAAATCTGATTATTTTATTTCCATTTTAATTGAATGCTTTTAGTAATTTCAGGGCTTCAAATGATTCGTCACTTTACTGGAGCAAATGACTTGATATGGCCCCATTTTACAGTGAGGAAACGAAGAGGTTGCTTTTGCTTGCAAGGAACGTAGCACTGATGTTTAGGAATTACTTAGGTCTCCATACTATTTTATGCCATTGAACTTTAGTTTTTTTTTTCCTCATGAAATCCCAAGCACTCTAGGAGGAATACTCTCCATCTGGACCAAGTTTTCAGATAAATTGATCATTATTAATATTAAAGGAACCAACAAACTATAAGCAGATTGAATTTTCACCATTATTACATCAGACCGTGCATGTGGCCAACTCCAGGAGTTATGATTTATGACATCAACAACTTTAACATTAGTGGATAGAACAGATTCAAAGACAATTCTAGAACCATATTTTTCAACCAAAAGGACATTTGCTAGCCAGCAATCACAATACAGATATGTGCTCTTGCCATTTCCAATAACAATAATATCAATCAAGTTTCAAGCAATATTTCTCAACTGGAGAAGTTTCCTCCAAGTCCAAGAGCCATCTGAAGGAATTTGCAAGCTCTAAATACTTCCACCCTTTAGCTTATAAGCATGAACCCAAGCCACCTAAAAGAAACTAGAGTTCAAAAATAAACACCGAAGGTTCCTCATCAACACTGCAAAATTACACTCTTTAAGCATTTTCAGATCAAGACCATCCTCCTGTTTGGGAAGGGTGACCAAATCCCAAGCCACCTTGGCTCCATAAGCAGAACCTTCTATTCTCTTCCATAAAAAAAACGTTACACTTCTGTTCAATGGCGTTAATAACTTGACTTGGAAGAATAAAAATAGAGTTCTGATAGTTCTGAATACCAAACACCACAAGGGATGAGTTGTGACTTCCTAGCAAATAACAAGAGTTTCGTAGCCCAATGCTGCATTCTAGCTGGTATTTTCTCTAAAAGAGGTCTGCAATCAGTTAGGCTGAGTTTATTGGTGATTATGGGGATACCTAAATATCGGACTGGAAGCTTGCCTGGTTTGAATCCTGAAATCTTTTGAATATCAGCAATAACAGAAAAAGAGATTTCAGTAGAGAAAATCTCACTCTTTGAAGCATTGACCCTAAGGCCATACATATTGTCATAACCAAAATTTCAGACTTTTGATTTTTAGTTTTCTTTTATTTCACTTTTAAGTTTTTTTTTTTAATCTTAATCAGTGTTTTTTTTTTTAATTTATTCATTTTACTTAGTAATTTGCAAAAAACCAAAAAAATACAAAAATACATAAATAATTTGAATTTAACATTCGGGGATGCAATTGCATTAAATTCAAAATAATTACGGTAACTAGGGATACAATCGAATTATTTAAAGTTCAAGAGTCGGTTTACATTGGATTGGGACCAAGTTGACTTGATAATAATTTACAAGGATCGAATTGCAAAATTATAAAAAAATCAAAAGAAAGAAAAAATTGTAAAATTTGCAGAGGAGTGAGCGACCGACCGCCCATTCCTCGCCCAAAACTAGTTTCTAGGCTCTTGGTCATCCTACTTCTTCCGGAACCAATTTTGGTTTTCGGTTATTGTAATTCTCTTCCATTAGGAGCCGGTTTGGTTCCCAATTTCCAGCAGCAATCATCATCCATCAACTTGTAGCTCCTCACCTCCTCTCCAGTCAACAATATCAGTATCCTCTCACCTGTCCAACCTTTTCCTTAAAAAATTGCAAAAATTAAGATGTGTTTGTGGGTTGGGCTTAACCCAACCCACATGGAAATGGGCTGGATTGTCCAGCCCTTTCCCAAAAAAAAAAAAAATTTGGACTGGACTGTCTAGTCCAGCCCACCTCTTTCCCTTTCAAAAATAAAAAATAAAAAGCGTTGGACGAGTCCAGCCCCTCCCCTCTTCAAAAATTACCTTTTCAAAAAAAAAAAGAAAAAAATTAATCAAAAAATAATAAGTTTTTTTTTATCCATGTTGTGTAATTAGTTTAAGTATTGAATTGCTTTTAATTATTTAGTTAATGTAATTTTAATTTTAAGTTCTTTTATGCATGTTAGTTAATTTATATTAATTTAGAATTGGGTATTATAATATTTTGTAATTATTTTAATTTAAACTTGAATTTATTTTAAGCATGTCCGTTATTGGTTTAAACTTTAGTATTTAAATTTTGTAGCTTAATGTATTTATTTAGTAATTAGGCTTAGTAAATAATGGGTGGAGGACTCGTCAAGTCCCCTAATTCTTTAGGGACCGATGACGGTCTTCCACCAAATAAAAATAACAAAAAAAAAAAAAAAATCAAATCATAAAACTTCTAACAAAGTCTTCTTCATCCGATAAGAATCTGTTGTTAGTTAAAAAGAAAAAAAGAAGAAGAAAAAGAAATCATTTTAATAAACAAGTGTTCTTTGACACATTGATTGTGTCGAGACTCAAACGGTAGATTCGATGTTTGAACCAACGTGTCTCCGGACAAAAGGGGTCCAACAATCGTTTCAATACAATGCCACGCTAAAAATAAAAAATAAAAAAAAACTTAATTTGACTTGAAATAAAGGACTTGGAAAATTGGAGTTTCGAAATTGAAAATGATTTGGCAAAAATAAAACACTTTAGTAGATGAATTTAGGATTAAACCAAATGTGGTATCTTTCTTCGGAAATGACGTTTTTTATGATTAAATATCTTCCCAAAAGCATAGCCAACTTCTTACACTAGAACCTCGATCAAATGCCCATTTTAGATTTATAGTTTTTTTTAATAATACGTAATAACTCTAAATTTTATAAATAATTTTATAAATAAATAAATCTTAAACTAAGATTTTGTCGAGAGTCCCGTCCGACACATGATAGAAAGCATGCAGAACATCAGTGATGCTTTAAGTAGATTCCAATTAAGGAGCTATTGCTGAAAATCGTCAAGTCTTCTGCGAAGCATAGCTAGATGAGATATAAAAAAGCTTCCTACACTCAGAATGAAACCCAATCCTTCCATGAGCCATTGCCTCATTCAAAAGACAAGATAAAACTCCCATGACAACGACAAAAAGGTCAGGAAACGAAGGATCTCTTTGTCTCAAGCCTCTCTTCCGCTTAAAGTAACCACAAGACCATAGTCCTTTTGTTGTGTACTTTATTTCTTCGGTTAAATTGTACTGATGGATAATGAGTAGGTTTTGGAAGCTTGAAGGACATAGTCTTGCATTCATGAAACTTTAGGGACAAAAAAATAATCTTCCTTGCATCCATGTTAGCAGATAGGATTGGGGAGTGGTTCTTGGATAGATTTTGATTGAACTGCGACTGGCATCGACAAGCATAGGCGAGGGCAAGTTTTTGAATTCAATTTCAGAAGTAGGGGCATAAGCACAGCATCATCAATTATTGAATGCCACTACTCTGATATTGAGGTGTATTCAGGAAAAAAGAAAACAGTAAGGAATTATCTAAGTTTGTCCGACGACTACGGAACTGCAGGCTAACCCGCAGACACATTTATGATTGTTTCAAGGATTGCCTGGTAGGAACTACATTTGTGCCTTTATAACTTCCAAGTGTCCTTGTGTAGCTCCCCCAGGAACTATCGAATCTTGTAGGCTTTGTCCCCATGTTTCGTGGCAACGAATACCGCCTCATCGACCATTGTAAACACCAGTCAATTGGAAATATGGACTGGGTGAATCCTGCTCCAATTCTCTGTGTTTTGATTCCGTAATAAAAGTCACCGAAGGCTCTTATTGCTTTTTTTTTTAATTTTACTTTTAAGCACTTTCGCCTCATCAGGTGGGCGTGCCGGAGTGGTTATCGGGCATGACTAGAAATCATGTGGGCTTTGCCCGCGCAGGTTCGAATCCTGCCGCTCACGATGTTTTTTAAAATTTCAAGCTAAATGTTATATTGTTATACTTTGTATGTTAATTATTAAGCAACTTTAAAGCATCCGGTGGGCGTGCCGGAGTGGTTATCGGGCATGACTAGAAATCATGTGGGCTCTGCCCGCGCAGGTTCGAATCCTGCCGCTCACGGATTACAATTTTATTTATTTATTTATTTTTATTTCTGAACCCATGTTTTATTTTACGTGGCCGGTATTGCTAGCAGTAATCAGCCCATTTACAAAATAATAATAATAATTAAATGAAACCAGATATCCAAAGAAATACAGAAATCTTCACTAATTAATTCATTGTTCTTACTAGGTGTTTCGACAGATTCTGATACAAACACTCCAGCAAATTAGTTAAGAAAAGAACATGATGTATTTGATGAGATTCATTTCCCTGGAACTTGCAAGTGATGAAGACGTAATCAAAGTTTACTTTTTCCATCTCCTAAACCAGATTTTCCAATACGTAATCATGTTCAAACTTACTAACACTAGGAAACAAATTACGTTACTCAACTTGCAAGTGATTGAGACGGGACGGGAAACCAGCCATGTTGACGATCGAAAAACAAACTATGCTCTAAAGTGGAATATATCTTTTTATAATTTAAAGTAAACCCCACTCCATACCACGTGATTTAAGTATCAACACAACCAAACACACGATTAGCAGCACCTTTTAACTTATCCCCAAAGAACAAATTTATAATAAAAATCTTATAAATTAGATGTATCTATATAAAAAAATATTATAGCATCACTCTTTAATTGTGTAGAATCATCTCCTTTGATCTCTCAGGGGAATGGAGTCAGCCATGTTGGGCTCATCCAAAAAGGGCACTTTGAATCTTAAGTGGAAAACAACCTTATCTAGTTATCTTCTAAAAGGATCAAAAGATTGTAGATTTCTTCAAATCTCTATCTCTGTAAATGGCTTGAAGTTATTATATCCACGAAAATCACGCCTATGAAGGACCACTGGTTGGAACTTTAAAAAAAGAAGAGAAGGGTTTGCATTACTGGATATGAGATTTTTTGAATTTGAAGTACATGTGAATGTGACTCTGCAAAGAAAGAGAGGCTGGATTTATCCGTATTGCTTGGTAGGACACACATCACAAATTAGGACGTTCACTTAAGGATGACAAGTGGAGCCCACGTGGCACTTATCCATTTGCTTTGAAAAGATGACGTTATATATGCAGAAAGATCAGGATGTGAATCAACGAGGAAGAGAGTTGCAGAGAAAATCCCCATATCTTTAACAAAAAGAGATTTTCTACAAAAGTAGTAGACTTGCAAGGGGGAACCTTCCTTTCTTTCCTTTTTATTTTTTTATTTTTCTAAGTGATGAACGCACATGGGCGGCACAATCAGTGCCGTCTAATGTAGAAAGGATTATGTATATATTTGTTTCTGCTCTTCATCTCTCTGCAACTCTTCTCAACTAAGTCTTTCTTGCAAGCTAGGTGGCTGCTAATAGAGTTAGTTAGGGAGGCAGGTCTGTACTTCTAAGTGGTCAGAAGATAAGATAATGGACAGCAAAGGGCAAGGGGCATGTTCTTCTTCTTCATTCACAGCTGATCTCTTTGGCACCACTCAATCACCACCAGTGTCTTCAGCTGGGATTTTTGCTTCTATGTTTCCACCTCCAGCCACGGTATAGTCTGACACTAGTACTTATATACTCCGTGTTCATATGCTTTGTTTTGTTTTTCTGTAAGGTTATCTTGGCCAGAACTTAAATTTCATGCGTAGCTTTCTCAACCACTTTTGAATATACATATATGTAACTATATGTTGCTTATGGATACTTTTGAAGTCTGTATTTTATCTGCCACGCTTCATGTTGTTACGTGGATTTGACCTAATTTAATAACCGAGCAAAGAACTGCGTAAATGAAGGGAAGTGAGGAAGATTTATATTGGCCCAACTTGGAATTTCTCTGATGTCATTTTATGCTTAGTCTAATGGCTTCTTAATGTAAATCTCGAGGAGTTTTCTTAAATATAGGTATAAACTGTCATCTTGAATGAAGTTTGAAAATCAACTTTTTCAATAGGCTCTGCGTTATGTAGACCATCTTGATATTAGTTTTAGTATCTATTCTTATAGGTAGATGGATACTATCCCTGATTGAGTTTGCTTACACTTGTGTGAACTCCTCCATCAGAGTTTGGGCGACCAACTAACTTCTATTCAGGGTTCAGGTTTTAGGGAGGAAAACTTCAGGCTCTGAGGTGATGGGATCTTGGCAAAAACAGTCCTCTGGAAATCAAGCGTGGAACCCTAAACAAGGATCTCCAGGTTTGTGATGGTATCTTGTTATATTTGAAGTACCATATTTCTTTTAAAAAACTTACATTGAGTTTAGAAGAACTTATTCTACCTTCATGCCCACTACATGTAGCTCTTGTTTCACTTCTAAACAAAGCTCTTAAATTGGTCAGGTGTTTGTTGGAGCATTTAGGATATTGATAATTCTGTTCTATTTAAAAGGAAGCCTAATTTCCTGATAATCTGTCTGTTTCCTATTAACAAAATAGCCAATATCCACGCTGCAAGCTATAGCATGCCAAACAAAGACAGGAATTCTGTTTTCCAGGAAGAAAGAGTGGAACCATGTCATCTAAGTTCATCCCTATACTACGGTGGACAAGACAACTACTCTCAATCCCCAAGTACCCAACTGGCTGGATCACATCCCGTAGTGAGTCTTTGATTAGTTGATGACTAATTCAAAACAGTATGCTGTGATATTGTCAGCATGATAAAAGTAATGATATTTTACATCAAAGTAAATTTACTAAAGTAATTTGTGAATGAATTAGTTTAAAAAAGATGGGGGAGAAGATGATCCTAACGGCAACCCTCACAGTGCTTCCAGAGGAAATTGGTGGCAAGGTATTATACTGCAGACAAGGCTAGAAGTTTACTTAACTGAAGCTGCTTTTATAGACCGTAATTTACATTTCTGATGTGCATTTCTGCAGGATCGCTTTATTATTAGGACCTTGCCTTCCCTTAGCAATTGAATTCTCCTTCTATTTTTTAAGGTACATTGATTCTCTGCACTCTACATAGAATAAGTATAGTTGTAGGCATTAGCAAGTGTTTTCTCTTTTGTTGTTTCAACACCTAATTCTGCAGAATTTTACCAATTAGTTGCGAACCTCTTCTCTTGTCTATTTTCACTTTTGTTGATTGAGAGAAAAAATGTTCAAATTTGATATTGAAGCAGAAGCATGTTTCCAAGAATGTGTGGTAGTACAACAAAAGTGTACAAAATATAATGATTGTGGTGGTTGTATTTTTCCAATACTCTCATTTATCCAAAAGTAGGGAGAGTGGGAATGATTAAAGTATTAAACTAAATCGGCTCAAGAGATGGAATCAAACTTGCACGCTTGAGATAGAGAATTCATAATCTGAGTTGAGAAACTATCGATGAACTTTCTTCATGGTTGTTTATCTAATCTATTGTTTGACCTTGTTTCTTCTTTGTTTACTTTGCAGGAATTCATTAAGCCTGTGTGATAATTATGAAAGACGTACAATAACTAGGTAGCTGACATGGAGATATACCGTCAGCTATTTTCAATGGTTTTTAATAAGGGCAGAACCATCATGTGACATAATTTTGATAGTTGCAGTTTCAATGATGTTCAGAAACCTGCGCAACACTTGTTGGCAGTTTCTGCTCTTTACTAGACTGTTTCAGTATGGTTCTAATGCATTTGTATGGACTCATAATGCATAGAATTTGACCCTCTTGCTTTTGCTTTATATTCTACTTGGATGTTGGAAAGCTCAGTTCATCAAATTTATGAATCAGTAATGCTGTCTGTAGAAATTTATATGGTAAACATATTAAACAGGATCTTAATCTTCTTTTAATTGGATACAGCTGAAAGTAACAGGTTTGAACCATCAAGATAAGTGCAGTATATAATTTCCATGCTCCACCGTAGAAATTATTGATGAGTACTGCCAATGAAGCTATTTCCATTCTTAAAAAAAAAAAAAATGAAGTACTTCCGCTGCCAAAATTGCCCATTAAGTTATCGAGCAAGAACATTTAGTTACAGATTTCTGGGTATCACAATTGCACACATAAAATAACCTCTCTAGCTTTCGGTTGCTAAGTTCATTTGTAAAGTCATAGCTCTGCAGCAGTAGCTGCAAGAATTAAGTACCTTGTGATGAGGTCCTGCGGTCTCGAATTTGTCTACGGTTGAGGCTAATTAAAGCATGCAAATTTCAAAAACAAAAAGAAAATTGTGAGGGAATGAAAAGGAAAGAACAGGAATCAGGTATCAGTAGCAAACACAAGCAGATTTACCTTCCCTAAACCATTGGCAATGAGCAATTACTGTGGTTAGGATTTAGAAACGTCCCAGCAACTTCTGGCATTGCTGCAGCATTTTTGGATTTCTAGAAAGCATAAATAATGTAGCTTGCTGGTTGTCCTCCTTTCTTCTTAAAGATTTGTCATCTTTTCATTCCCGAAGGGCTCTAAGCCGACTGCTTAGCCGTAATCAGCAGGACCTTGAACAAAATATACAAGGAATCTCGTTTTGATTATTGCATTACTCGCTCTCTCAAAAATTCAATTTGAAATGATGCTTCTATCTTAATTGAATGGAGATTGGTATTGGCAATAATCCTCTGTTTTTCTATTGTCGTTTGATATGCAAAGGAATAGCCTTTCATAAGCTGCTGCCATTTTCGTGGCAGTGAACAATTGCAACCCTCTCTGCCTAGCAGCTTGGCCTTTCTTCTCCAGACCTCTTCTGCCATCTTCCCAGACCCTATAAAGTGCATTTTTCAAAGAAACTACCATAGGAGAAAAGGTATATCCAACTTCTGTGCTAACAATCACAGATCCAGTAATGCTAGCTACCCTTGTGGACATCACTGGCTTACCAGAAAGCATTGCTTCTAACAAAGTATGATCCAATCCCTGAGCTCGAAGAGTTGGGTTTACAAAAATATCTATTGCATTATAGAAGCTTGCCAGTTGAGCTTGTTCCAACGGCCCCAAAATTAGTGTATTGGCTCCAAGATCTCTGTATCTAGCACCCCAAGGACCATCTCCAGCAATCAGAACAATGGTGTTTTCACGAAATGTGCCATTTTCCACAAGCATCTGCTTCAGAGCTTCAAACATTAAGGGGTGTCCTTTATCCTTCACTAACCTCCCTGCCATGCCTAAAACCAATGATCTACTCTCTACGACCCCAAATTTCTGCTTAAATGACTTGCCTTTAGCAGGATCTGGCTTGAAAATCTCCTCATCGACCCCATTGAGAATAACATGGACTCGTTCTTCTGGGATCATATAAATTCTTCTTAGTATATCTCCAGCATGATCACTAGTGGCGACATGGTGAGCATAGTTCGGGAAAAACTTGACCTCCTCAACAACCTTGGTAATTCTTTCAGTCAATGCATATGCTTGCTGTTCATCGGGATTCCGAAGAAGTTCTTGGATGATGTCACTATGAATGGTTTCATATGCAATCCCATGCCAAGTAACTGATAAGTTGGTCAGGTTCCGTGACCGAGTATGCAACAGCCCAACACTTTCAGTGTGGACTATGTCAAAGGCTTTTCCAGTTGAGTTTTGAGTTTGAAATTGCTTCCAGACTAAAGCTTGGTCCAGATAACCAGCAGCTGTTGGTTTTGAGAGGTGAAAATATAAATTGCTCATTGGGTACCTAGGGAAGGAGGAGTTGGAGAGAGAAGCGGTGAAAATGTGAAGCTCATGCCCTCTTTTGGCAAGAGCAAGATGAAGGGTCAGGGCATGGCGCTCAAGTCCACCTGCATGAGATCTATGAGGCCATTTCTTTACGAAGAGTGCGATTTTAAGGTATTTTGAAGGTGGTTTTGATGGAAACGAAAGACGATTCCATGCCAAAGGGAAAGAAAGGAGATTGATGGGTTGGTTTTCCTTCTGCAATATGATTTGACTGCTGTAGTAGCATGAACTAGAGCATTGACACCAGAACAGAAATGAGAGAAATGAGAATGCAGATAGCAGTACTATGATGAAACAGAAACAGCGAAAACTGAAGATAGCAACTTGATCTTTAGCCATTGAAATGTCAAATGTCGGTTCTGATGCTACTAAACACTTTTTTCTTCAGGAAACTAAAATAAGTAATAGGCACAACATCGATTTAAAACATGAAAGCAGTGATGGGATTGGGAACCAACAAGAAGAATCAGTGCAAACATAAACAAGAAATTAACAAGAAAGCAATTTTTGATTGTCAAAACAAGTTCTTGAATTGAAAGGCACCTGCACATGGGTTCTCTCAGGAGTAGTACATGAGAAGCAAATCCCAGAATCCATCCATTTTAGTGAATTGTTTATGAGTAGTTTCAAAGGAAGAAAAATTTTTGGTTAAGCAACCACATCATGGATTGACTAAAGGGATTAAATTAACCTTCTTTGATTTCCTCAACTCATTACTATATTGCAATAAAACAAATTTCACGCCATTGTCACTGCCAACCCCCTGAAACATGGCAATTTTATACAAGCGATAGCATGAAGCATTCCCAATACAAAATGCAATTAAATACTGTAAAATCCAACAATACAATGGACCTATACCACTAAATCACATCCGATAGCCAGAACGGTACAGTAAGGCTTACAGATCATAGAAAGTCAAGTCACTGAATTTCGAGGTTAAACTAAGATAGTTGTCAAGGAAACGTCATATATGGTTATTTAAGAATAACAAACTGCAACATTTTTATATCCTTTACTCTCCACTAAGGCCAAGTTAAGCATAAGCAGATTAAGAAACGCACTCAATCAACAAAAGTCAGCATCTTTCACTCAATTTTTTTAATCTAAGATTCTCAATTTTTATTTACCAGTTTAATTTCCAAGAGATCGATGGGTCCATCTTACAATTTTTACAATGGATTGGAAACAATTAATTGACAGCAAGATCAAACAAAACAATAAATATTCGCATGGCAGCAAGGTAATTCTTCAAATCTCCCTAAGCTAGCGAGTAAACGCATAGAGCACAAGAAAAACATAGATCACCAATGCCAAAGGGACCAAAATGACCAAAGGAGTAATAGCAGCAAATGTATGCAAACTCCCACAGCCCAAAATCCCCAACTTTATTTGCACCAAGTCCACCAAAGCCATCATCAAGAACCCACATCCAAAAACCGACCCAAACCCAGAAACCAAAGTCCCAGCCCGCAAAACCACCAAGTTGACATGAGCCAGAGGAGCACTACGCACCACCCCATCAGAATCCTCGACTTTTTTAGTATCAAAAAGCTTGATGGTCTGCTTAACAGCCAAAGCAATGAGACTGGAAAAGAGAAAGGAGCTGAAAGAGTAGACGTGGAAGGCGATGAGGTCCTCGGCGATGGAAGAAGGTGCGGTGCAGGAAGCATCAGTGATAAGCGTGGTGTTGGGGTCAGGTGTTGTGGGGTACCATGCAAGACCAAGAAAAAGCGCTAAGGTGAACAAAGAGTTTACATTGACGATACCATCTAAAGCCATTATGTGTATTCTTGTAGTTGTAATTTTCTGATTGTTGGGTGACATTTGTGGTGTTGTGGTGGTACTGGTGGTGGAGGAGGAAATACAATGCAAAGAGCATAAATTTGTGTATATATTTAGGTGTTTTGGGGTTGGGAAAAAAAGGCGAAGGATGGTTGAAGGTAGGAAGTTTGGGATATCGTATAATATTGCCTTATTTGTTATAGCGTAGCGTGTCTTTTCCGGCAAGGGAAGGGAATGATCCAACAGTTAAAAGCTTTGGCGTGTTGAGTTAACAATCCAAAAGGCCAAAAAAAGGCAGAGTCTCCAACTGTCCATTCAACTGTATGGTTGATGGTCGATGCTTCAGTGGCTTTTCAACGACATGCCGTTTACTGATAGTGGAGTATGTATATTAATATAAGAATTAGGGGTACCCCGCAGCCCCTAACGTAAACTGCAGTTGCGTTCTTTTCTTTTCATGCCAGGTTCTTCATAACAAACGACGTGTCAGTTCAATACGCTAGTGCCCTCTTTGATGCTGAGACTTTTAAGACTGCCTGGTTGGGAGATGGACTTCTTCTTCTAGTGGTGATTTTCTTAAAATAATTATAAAAATCTTTGGAAACTGTAGCAAGAAGCCCATGACTTCGATTCCCAGAAAATTACAGTAGTAAATTATAAATTAGACCCTCATGTTTGGATAAATAAATTAATTAGTCCTCTAGTTTCAAAATCCAATCATTTACTCTTTTTTATATATTTTTTAATTTTTTAAGTAAAAATTATGGAAAAATTGATGAAAAGATGATACATTGTATCAAATAAAAAAATATTAAATTAATCGTGATATTGAAAAGATTAAATAATAAAATTTTTAAAATTAGAAGGACCAATTAATTCGTTTTTCCAAAAAAGAGGAACTAATTTATAATTCCACTAGTGGTGGACCAAATAAGATTGCGAGACTCGTCTCCTTGTTGGGGCTTGACGTGGAGGACCCAAAGGGTGCCATCCGTGTCCAGAAGATTGTCAATGGCCCATTTGAGAGCCAAGTTGCTTCCCTTTGAGAAATCTACGGCTAAACCTAGGCTCCTATTTTTCGTCATCTTTTCTCGAGATTCAAATCGTCACAAGATAAACAATGGAAATCACTAAGATTGGCAGATGGCTCGAAGCTTATGAAAACAAGTAGATGCGCATGCAGAGGTTCTGTCATCTGTGCACAGCTTGTTGAATTGTGGTTGTAGGTTGGTCATTTTTTGGCTTCCCACAAAGCGACTCTGCATGATGTCATCAATTCTACCAAGGCGTACTTAAATTTCTCTAGTATTCTGCCAGAAAGCCAAACCAATTAAACAAACCACTGAAGTCGAGATAAAACTAACTATGTTCAGTAAAGTAGTTGTTAAAAAACTAATTAAACTGTTTATTTTTTCTGACATGTAGTTTTTGTCTCTTGCAATGCAGAATTTGTTTTGCAGTGTGATCGGCGAGCAAGCCAGACTATTTTTTTCTTTTTTATTCAAAACAAAGATGAATTTACATTTCCTTATATCAAATAATAATAAATAAATAAATAAAAAGATATCGCGACCTTTCATGTGAATCAAAATCTAATCTTTATTTGCCATAAATATTTATATTTACCACGATATTGTTGAATCATGACAAAATAGTAAGAAATTGAGAATATATCATTGTAGTCATTAGAAAGTTAAATGCAAATGCGAGCCCATGAAGGATGGGCATTATTTTTTTATTATTATTAGTTATTATTTTCTCTAGAATAAGATCGGAATCTAGATTGAATTTAATGTCACGAGTCTGATAATAGTTCTTATATATATAGGTGTTTATTTTTTTAACTATTGTAGCGTATCTTTTCGGGAAAAAAAAAAGAAAAAGAAAGAGTAGATTTATATATGAGTGTTTTTTTATTTTTCATTGAACAACGAAAATAATGACATGCAGATCATTTTTAAGTGAATTACATTAAAAAAAAAAAGGAAAAAAATAATGTTTGATTATCGACAACAATGGATGAATAAATTAATTTTAAATACAATATAAAGGAAACATCATTTTTAAGTGAATTACATTTAAAAAAAAAAGGAAAAAAATAATGTTTGATTATTGACAATAATGGATGAATAAATTAATTTTAAATACAATATAAAGGAAACATGAAAATACGAGACTGCGCTAATTTTAATATTATTCACTCTTATTTAGATTAAAATGTAATGCAAACTTATAGGATCGTATAGATTTGTTAATAAAAAGGTAAGAATGTGTTATAATAATTTAAAACATCTGTTTTAAGAAAGGAAAAATCAAAATATCATGGAAGCTATATAAGATAAAATTTGAATCTTAATAATAATAATAATAAAGGAAGATTATGTTTTTATAAAACATTTGGCAAAAGAAGGAATGAACAATATTTAAAATGGAAAAGCGAAACCTTATGTTTGTATCAAAACGATAAATTAAATCAGAAGTAAATAATTTGGCGAATTCAACTCTATACTCATTATATTTAGGCAATTTGATCCAACCAACCTCAAATTTTAATAAACATTAAAAAAAAAAAAAAAAAAAACTAGATTAATTTATAAAGGAAAGTAAGTTTTATTAAATCATGAGTCTAAATTAAAATTAGATTTCTTCTATTTGTATTTTCCTAAAATATGTAATACGAAGTGTAATGATGTGAGAGAATCAAGGGTAGAACTCACATCAGTTTTATTTAAAAAAATAATAATAATTTTTTTTTTAATTAGGATAGGGCATTTTAATAAAAAATAATGTGCTATCTATGTGGCTAATATTTTTTATGTCAAACAATTTTAGATGTCTAATAAGAAGACACTTGAATAGAGTTGTCTAAATATAATGCATATAAAATTGAATTTATCAAATTATTGCATAATGTCTCAAAATGAAAAAGAAAAAAAATTCAAATCTAACTATAAAATTTTTTTGAAAAAAAGTAAGGCCACGTAGCTTGCACTCTAGTGAGATCCACTTGCCTGGGTTGTGCCTGAGCCTTTACTTGGGCCAATCTTTATTGTTATCCAGTTTTCAACTTGTCACGCGGATTAATTCAACTTTTTGATGACATATAAATTTCAAATCCACTTGTAATTAAGAGTGATTTGGTATCTTTTGTGGCTTTTCTTTCCTTGTTTCGCTTTCACACCTCTAAAAATAAATACTTATAGTAATTAATTTGCTCCTTTACTTTTTCAACTCTGCATTTTCATGAAAACAAATTTATTTTATAACTTTTTAAACAATGAATAAAATTGTTTTAAATTATTTATTCCTTCTTTTTCATCTTTCATAAATGTAATTAAACTTTTTTATATTGTTGTTATTATGATACAACATTTAGTTTTTATATATTTAATTATTTTTTGTGGTTAAAATTTGTCGGAAAAAAAATCAAATATCAAAAAGCAAGGCTTTTTTTCTTTCATTGTTAAAGAATTCATATAAAACAATTTTAAAACTTTACCCAACAACTTAATATTTTTACTGGAACGGTTCTTTAACATTTATGAATTTTAACCAAACCTATAACCTTTAAAATTTATAAAAAAATATATTTTTATTTTGTAAATTCTGAATCTAGAATGAAGTTTGGTAATTACATGGAGTAAAAATTTAATAATATAAGCTTTTAATTATAAAGAACCTAAATAGAAATGAATTTTGACGGTAGTTTAATATAGTAAATGGATCAAAACGAAGTCATTTTGATCTGTTTTATTTAAAAAAAAAACGATACTGTTTCAACACAAAAATAAGTAAATTTATGAAAAATGAGTTTATTTTAGTTTTTAATGTTTGTGTTGTTATAAATATGAATTAATTTTGATTCTTAGTGCGTATGGGATGTTCCTTAAAATTTACTGGGTTACAATAAAATCTCCGAAAGTAGAGAGAGGAGAGAGAATGTTCTTTTTCCCTAAGATTGTTTAAAACATGTTTAGAGGTTAAAAAATGATTTTTTTTGGACGATTCTAAAGTATTTTAAGGTAAAAATGGTGAATAAATTAGGTTTGCAGGGGTAAAATCGATAACCCACGATTTTGTAATGACAGTTCGTCGTCGAAAATTGCTGAGACAATAATGCATCATTCCCAACGAACGATGAATCTGCGTCCGTTTTTTTTTTTTTTTTTTAAGTGTCTAGGCCTCGCACGTCTAGCCTAGGTGCGCATGCTCCCTAGCCCAACTTTCTTTCTTTTTCTTTTTTTCATTTTTTTTTATGCTTTTACTTTTTCATTATTTATTATTTGCTCACTTAACAGTTAATAACTATTTTGTAATTTTTTTTAATAGATTCATTAATTGAAATTAAATATCCTTTCAATATACATTGATTTAGTTCATTTTTTCGTCTTTATTAACATTTTTAATTTTTTATTAATTAAATTATGAATTCTGAGTTTTATTTTTTTATTTATCAAAATTAAATATATTCTTGAGATATATCTAAATTCAAATACAAAATATACACATGATATTAACTACTACATGCTAAATATTAATTTTAAAAAAATCATAATTAATAGTGATTTTTTTCTTCATTCACTTAAATTTTTAAAATTAATTAGAATATTAAAATAGATTTTCCAAGTCAATTAAAACTTATTTTATAGTTTGTTGCGGGTATCATACTAGTCAGTACTAAATCCATATATATTTTTAATAAGGATGAATAAAAATTTTAGTGGATAAAATATAATTTGGTTCATAAATTAACGAAAGGAAAGTTGTCAATTAAAGCTTAATCCACATTGAAAATATGATTAAGATTTTTCCCATAAAAAGCACTATATAGGTATGTTGATTATGGGGGAGAAACTAGATATGGCTATCAAAATCATATGATGATACCCACGAATGCTTTTATCTTTTAATCAAAGTTGACCGTGGATGAATAAGGATGAATCATCCATTACCCCTTTTGGTACACAGACATCGAAAGTCATTTTGGGTAGGGATTTGTAGGTCATGAATGGATGACGCAGGTATCAGCACTAAATTCATCGAACCCATCTTATTTAGTCCTTGGCTTTATATAAAATCATTTCCAACCTAGCGACGCCAGGATTGGACTCGAGTCACTTACCCATTCACCTAATCCAAAATCAGCTGACTTTGTTGACTAATTGCCCATTTAAGCATTGCAAGCTAGCTAACACATGATAAAGACCTTAACCACTACTCTGCTCAACTGGTCATCCATTCTAATGTCTCCATCAATCCTGCTTTCCAAGATCAATTAATGTGCCTTTGACATTTCTACCTTAAATCCAGGCAGACGCAGCAATATTGCTGCTTGTGGAACCACATCAATTAAACTAAGACACCAACCCCAACCATCAACGATAACCACTGTAAAGACATTCCAAATGGAATAATCTTATAGGCCAACTAGTCCTTTCATTGAAGTCCCAACTCACAATTGCAAAAATGTCCCAACAAATGGCAGGTGGTTTTCGTAGCTGAACACATGTACGGTCCAACAGCCATAGCCCAATATTAATCAGATCACAGCCAGATCAAACACAGCTAGTTACACAAAAGCCATCGTTCTATCAGATTTCTGTTATAGACAAAATGATTTAAGCTACTGCTCTCTCACGCACGCTGTCAGTGTCCTCGGTGCTGTGACTGTGAGACAGGTTACAGTTATACCTGGCCTAGGCAATACCAGGAACAACCAAACCATCCATATATGTAATTGCAAATCATCAAAACCGAACCTGTTCTCTCTAGGGTATTTCAGAACTGTCCAAGCTCAAATTTTTCATTTATCATGGCTGTTGACCTACACAATAGAGATTCATTATTGTTGCCCTCCCAATATAATTGTACTGATCAGGAGATTACCATTCTCGCCTTGGATGATAAACCCACTAATCAAAAGCACTGGTCTCCTTCTTTTGCTTCCTCTGATTTTGGTTCTTCCCGGAGTTCACCAATTGAATCAGAACTTGGGTCAACTGAGTCGGAAAGTGACCAAGACGACGATTACATTGCTGAGTTGACTCGCCAGATGGCTCATCACATGCTCCAAGACGACGATCATCAAAGACATGAAAAGGTATGTGTACTATATACGTATACAATACTCATTCATTTGTGACATGCATGAATATGCATGCACATGTCACACCCTCCTTAATTAATCTCTGATTTGAGATCTATCAACTGTGGTTTAGACATGGAGTTTTGCTGGTTGGCCGCAATCAACAGTATGGTCAGAGTTGGGCTCGAGCCAAGAAGAGGAGGCCGTGATGAACAAGTTTCACAAGTTCAAGATCAAGGAAGAGGAAGGTATTCACAAGTATACCAATAACGAGAGATTTTTAAGCACTTCGCTTGAAACCAATTCAGTCCCTTTAACTGTCAGGAACCCCAAAATTTCCAGCGCTGAGTTCCAGTCTAAGCAAGCTCTTATTGATGATCAAATAAAGGCCATTCAAGTAAGTCTTAATTACTACTACATAATATAGTGCATGTGAAACTTTTAGCTGTTTCTTAACACGTAAGCATCTTTCTTCTTCTTCTTCTTCTTCTTTTTTTTTTTTTTTTTTTGGTGGCTAATTTTGGTGGTATATAAATATTGCAGTTCTATAAGCTAAAAAAATCAGAGCAGATTATGAAGCAGCAAGAATATCTAAATGGGGCAAAACAATCCAATCGGTATAAACAAAATGACCCAAAACAACAGGTTAAGCAATTTCCAAGCAAGGGGAGAGGTCGTGGTGGGCAGTTTACTAGCCATTGTGAACAAAAGGTGTCATGGGCTAATCTACAGCAACAAAAACAACAATATAGAACCGGTTCAGAGATGAGAGCAGTTTTCCTTGGTGATTCACGTTCAAGAAGGGGGTCTGGTGCTGGGACTGGAGTGTTCTTGCCTCGAGGTGTAGGCAATACTTCCGGGTCACATAAGAAACCAGGTAATTAATTAATGAACAGTGAATTTTTTTTCTCTGTGTCACATGCTGGCTAAACTTTGGTTAGTTTTTTTTTTTTTTTCCCTGGGGTTTTCAGTTCCGTAGTTGTTGGAGTAGTTGGTCTTCGACCAGTAGTTTATCTCCTTTCCTATGTTCCTTAAATTCGATTTGATGTTGTCTGATTATGATATTATGGAATCTTAATCTTTAACTTTGTCAGTGGCCAAATTAAGTTTGATATTCGAATTGGAAACTTCCCTTGTCCACTTGTTTATTCCTTTCACATATTGTGTTCAGCTAACCACTTGTAAGAGAAATGGAGGCCCAGTTGACCAGCATTATCAACTTGATCTTAAAATTGTTAGGGTTAGTGTGTATGGAATATTGAAAAGTTAGGCTCTAATTAATTTCAATTTATTTCTTTTTTATTGAACAGGTTGTTCAACTGTTTTTATACCAGCAAGAGTAGTTCAAGCGCTGAAAATGCACTTCGACAAAATGAGGGTTGAATCAAGATCCAATGATGCTATTTTCCCTATTCAACATGGTACCTTACTACCAAGAATACCTTATCGTCAAAAAAACAAATTAGTCTCTCATTCAATTAATGATAATAGCTCTTTGCTGATTTTTTGTGTGCTTTTTTCGGCCTTTAGATGATTTGAGTGGTGATGTGAGATATGGCCCGCAATCACAGCAAAAAAGCCAGTCCCCACCGTTGCCGGCAATAAATTGTCATCAAGGGACCGGTCTTCCTCAGGAGTGGACATACTGACTTTACACAGGCATATACAATAATGCCTTGATGCTTCCTTCGAATTAATGTCCGACCGATTATGTAGTTTATATGGCTGTTTTCGCTCAACAAAGATGAATAAAGAGTTTGCAGCAGAATAAAAGAAAGAAAAATATGGACATTGGTCGAATTAGAGAGAGTCTTATACATCATAGGACTAAACTAATCTAATGTTTGTAAATTCTCAATAAAATTATTATTTTTCTTTGAGCAATGAGATGAGATTAGCTGTGTACAAGCCTAAAACTTCAATTTTCACTTCTTTTATATTATAATGTAAGCCTAAACCTGTGGTATTCAAAGCCCGGAATGATCACGAAAGGTCAGGTGGGATTGGACGGTTATAATTATGTTAATATGCCATTAATTACAACAATCATCTCCACACTCGAAGTGAGATTATTATACGTTTGGCTTGCCTAAAACTTCAATTTTCAATTTTTTTTTTTATCTGAGTAAGTGAACTTTTAATTTTTTTAATCAAGTATTTTTATTAGATTCATAATGATATGGTTGTTAAATTGACAAGTCAAGTTGACTTGCTCCTCACGTGAACATGAATATTTTACTTTATTTTTAATCAAGAGCTTATATTTTTATTTTTTTCTATTTTTGTGTATGTATTTTTATTTTTTTATATTTGAATATATATATTTTTATTTTTTCGATTTGAAAGTCTGTTTTTTAAAAAATATTTCGATGAGTGCTATTAATTTTGAAACCTAACAAATTTTCACTTCACAATCTTATGTAAGTTATAATTTTACAAATTTAACTAAAATTAAAAATTAAAACCACAAAATAGATAAACATATTCAAATTAAAAGTATATAATATGTATACATGTGAGCGCTTGCAAGAGAGATCAAATATTTTTATTGAAAAATTAGAATATATAAAATAGCATAGAAAAAAAACTATTTTGTTGAACTTGCTAACTTTTTGACCTTTTTAAAGTTAGTTGTGGAAATTTATTTGATTTGTGAGAAAGTGGAGACAATTGAGTAGTTTGACTTTTTATTTATTTATTTTAATGAGTCATATTTTATTCTTATTTTATTTTAAATTAAAGAGATTGCTATTATTGTTAGTAATTTTTTTAATTTTATTTTACTTGATCAAAATTTAGCTTATATAAGATTACAAAGTGAATATTCGTTAAATTTCAAAATTAATAGCAACCTTTGATAAATTTTTAAAAGTAGATACAATAAAATAGAAAGAAAAATAATACTATATGCACTCAAACAGAAGACAAATAAAAAAAAATAAAGGTACAAAATACTCAATTAGAAATAAAATGATATGTTAGATATTGACGTATTAATTTAATAATCACCTCAGTATTAATTTAACAAAAATATTTAATTAAGAAAATTGAAAATTTGTAAATTCAAATAGAAAAGGTAAAATTGGGATATTAGAATAGAAATTTTTTTTTTAAAAAAAAAAAGTTAGCCTGCCAAATATGTAATAATCTCTGATAAAAATACTAAAAAAAAAGAAAAGCTTCTTAGTACGGATCTAAATTTAGACATAAGGCTGAATAGAAACGTCAAATTTACAGGCTAGCCATTAGTGCTTATCACGAGACAATCGTTCCCTCATCAACGATCTAAAGAAATAGACGGTCGATATTTCTAATTTCCAAGGCAAACATGAGAATTAGCTGCAAGTTGTTTGAAATTTTGGTAGAGCATGATGTGGAATCATGAACAGGTGTTCGTAGGGGCACTTTTGAAATATGAGAAGGGTAGCACGTGACGTGTCACGTGATAATAAATTATTAGGGGCACTCGTGCTGTCATGCCACTAATATTGGTTGGGACCAATAAATTGGTGATTGTAAATTTGAATGGTCCCAAACGGATACGGTATTTCCTTGAATAAATTGATAAAGACCGTAATCTTTATGTCTGCATTACGAAAAGAAATATGAGAAAGACTAAGACATGGTCCCATGAGGATTCATCTTATCAGGTACAAGTTTTTTTGCGGGACAAACCATTTGGAATCTACAGTTGGTTTTTCTCCTTTTCTATCAATGTTTTTGGTGATATAATTCCCACTTCTTGTCTTGCGCATTCTATAAAAGTTATCCCACGGTCTAGGAAAAAAAATTAAAATATCCAAATGCAATATTTTATTTTATTGATTCAAAATTCATCACCAATTGTACACCTGTTAATTTGTTTAAAACTTACCAACTAATTTACTATAATTCAATGACAAAACCACACTAGTGTTATTTTAATTACTAGATATATTTAAGAGAAGGCCAAACTCTTATATTTATAAGAACTCTACACCAAACAATAACAAGTCTTATATTAACTGAAAAAACTAATTTTAATAAGAATTCGTGACAACTCCTATGTCACATACGAAACCAATACCTATCCGGAGATCAACTCCTATGTCATCAATGTATTTGTTGCGACCATGAAATAATGTATTGACTTGTTTCGACAATGTTGTAATTCACCAAGCATTCTTTTCAACCCCACAACTTGAGTAGCACAACTTCTAGCTACATTAATATATTTTGCATCGATAATAGAAAGAGCTAGCAACTACTTGTTTTTTCTTTAATGACCAAGAGGACATATCAAAACCAAGAAGAAGAGCATAACCCGAACTACTCTTTTGCTTTTCTTTATCATCAGAATTACTATCTATATATTAAAAAAGCTTCAAATTATTAGCATAATAATAAAAGATGTCGTCACTTTGTGTATACTTTTGACATATTTTAAGATGAGTTTGGCTGCTTGCAAATGAGATTGACGTGAAGTATCCATAAATTCACTAACAATGCCTGCACAATTCATGATATCAGGTCAATTATTATTTAAATACCGCAAACTTTCCACCAATCTTTTAAAATTAGCTGAATCAAGCAAATCGCGATTGTCATCTTTGACAAGGTTTAATCTTTCTTCTACACGAGTCAAAATTAGATTACAAACTTTCATCTTGAATTTCTTTAAGATACCACTAGCATATTTTTTATGTGAAATAAATATGCCATCGTTTGTCTGTGTAACTTCAATACCAAACTCATATATGTCATCTCGAATTGATAATCATGGCTTCTTCAAACTTTACCAATAACTTTAAGTTGTATCAATAAAACTCAACACATTTACATATAGGCACACAATAATAATAATATCTCGTGATGATAAATCATTTTTAATATATAAAGTATACTCCTAGGGTCACTTATGAAAGCTATTTTTAAGAAAATATTAATCAATCTGAGTATATCATGCTCTAGATGTTTGTTTCAAACTATACAAGGCCCTATTCAGCTTATAGACTTTATTTTCTTTCCTCCTTTTCATACAGCAGGTGGTTGTTCAACATACACCTCTTCGTCAGGTACAGCATTCGAAATAACCAATTTTACATCTATTTGATAAATACTACCCAATAATTTTGCACAGTTGAGAGAAATGATCATACGAACAGTTTCAAGTCTAACAACAGGAGCAAAAAGTTCGAAATAATCAATGCCTAACTTTTGTTTGTAACCTTTTACCACCAACGACATTTTGAAGCGATCCACCTCTCCATTAAGCTTATACTTTATCTTGGACATCAATTTGACTAGTTGCCTTTTATCTTGAGAAAGAGTGGCAAGGTACCAAGTTTTGTTTTTCTCAGTTACTTGAATTTCTTCATCCATTGCACGAATCTAACAATCATTAGTACTAGTTTCTTGGTACGACATAGGATCACAATCAATAAATAAAGAAAAATATATTGCATCATCATCGTCAGAAATACCATTGTTATTCTCAATAATATAATCTTGTAAGTGTGTAGGCAAGCGATGTTGGCATTGTGGACGACTAAAAGACTATATGAATAGGTGTTGAAGATTATGGAGTTTGAACTTTAATTGGCACATCATTGTAAACTTCAACGAGTAATGGCAAAGATTTTGTTTTTTCAATTGACTAATCCCGAACACCATCTCTATCAAAAGTAACATCTAGACTTATGATCACCTTTTTGGTTTTTAGATTGAACAATTTTTAACCCTCTATCTCATAGTTGTAACCGATGAAACTACACTTTTTAGATTTATCATCCAATTTCTTACTTAAATTACCAGGAATATGAGAATAAGCAATACAACCAACCACCTTGAGATGACTAATATTTGGCTTGTTTCGACTCCAAGCCGCTTGAAGAGTTTCTCCATGAACAATCCTCATAGAGCACTTATAAAACATAAATAGAACAAGCAACTCTTTATGCCTAAAAAGTTTTGAAAAACTTTTTTATTTTGTAACATGCATCTAATCATGTCCATCATAGTTTTATTTTTCCTCTCTACCATTCTATTTTGGTAAGAAGTGTATCTAGTAGTCAATATTGATGTCCAATGCCATTCTTTTTTTAAGAAATCATCACAAACATTATACTATGTGTCTCTACTAGTTCTCAAAGTTTTAATGGAGTTTCCACATACTTTGCTTTTTAACATATTAAAAATTTATTTAATACACCACAAGCTTTTTATTTTTGTTTCAAAAAATAAAATCGAGTCTTTCTACTAATGTCATCAATAAAAATAATAAAATACATAATACCTCTATTTAAAGAAATCTCAACTGGCATAAATCTAAAGTGCGTATAAGGTCAAGCGGCCTTTTAGCTCTCCATATCTTTTCTTTTGAATAAGGATCTCGGTGCTCTTCTTTAAAATACACAATTTACAAACTTTTAATAGAGAATTAATTTGTGGCAACCCATGAACTATTTTCTTACTAGTAAGAAATTTCAAACCCTCCAAATTTTAAATTTCCAAGACGCATACGTCATAACCAACTATCATCAGAAATCATAGAACTAAAACAAGTCAGCTTCATTATAATTAAGTCTTAGTGGTTACAAATGATTATTAGCAATAGTTACCTTTGCTAATGGCCTTTTTTTTTCATCAAAGATTGTGCAAGTCTTGCCTT